AAACGGGTTGTGAAACTCCAGCAGACTATTGTGTTAAAATCAAACAACGTCGATTCGCCATTGCGGTATAGCGAACAATATCATATCTTAAGTGGTTTCAGATCTACCACCAATGTTGAAACGACTGCTGGACCTTCGGAAGAAGTCGCCAGTGGCGGTTCTCACTTTATCACTTTGTTGATCCTATGTGGAGCGTTGGTGGTGGCGGCTGGCGTACTCGCGATGTGGTTCAACTTAACGGAAGTGTAAGTCGCAATGTTGGAGTAGGAATATATGTTATCGCTTTCCTCACCTGCTGAGCTCAGAAGAGTTTCCTATACAGTGTTGGAGTAGGAATATATGTAATCGCTTTCCTCAGCACCTGAGCTCAGAAGAGTTTCCTATACAGTGTTGGAGTAGGAATATATGTAATCGCTTTCCTCACCTGCTGAGCTCAGAAGAGTTTCCTATACAGTGTTGGAGTAGGAATATATGTTATCGCTTTCCTCACCTGCTGAGCTCAGAAGAGTTTCCTATACAGTGTTGGAGTAGGAATATATGTAATCGCTTTCCTCACCTGCTGAGCTCAGAAGAGTTTCCTATACAGTGTTGGAGTAGGAATATATGTAATCGCTTTCCTCACCTGCTGAGCTCAGAAGAGTTTCCTATACAGTGTTGGAGTAGGAATATGTGTAATCGCTTTCCTCACCTGCTGATCAGGAGTTTCCTATACAGTGTTGGAGTAGGAATATATGTAATCGCTTTCCTCACCTGTTGAGCTCAGAAGAGTTTCCTATATAGTGTTGGAGTAGGAATATATGTAATCGCTTTCCTCACCTGCTGAGCTCAGAAGAGTTTCCTATACAGTGTTGGAGTAGGAATATATGTAATCGCTTTCCTCACCTGTTGAGCTCAGAAGAGTTTCCTATATAGTGTTGGAGTAGGAATATATGTAATCGCTTTCCTCACCTGCTGAGCTCAGAAGAGTTTCCTATACAGTGTTGGAGTAGGAATATATGTAATCGCTTTCCTCACCTGCTGAGCTCAGAAGAGTTTCCTATACAGTGTTGGAGTAGGAATATATGTAATCGCTTTCCTCACCTGCTGAGCTCAGAAGAGTTTCCTATACAGTGTTGGAGTAGGAATATATGTAATCGCTTTCCTCACCTGCTGAGCTCAGAAGAGTTTCCTATACAGTGTTGGAGTAGGAATATATGTAATCGCTTTCCTCACCTGCTGAGTTCAGGAGTTTCTTATACAGTGTTGGAGTAGGAATATATGTAATCGCTTTCTCCACCTGCTGAGCTCAGGAGTATACAAATTCGGATAGAGATATACATAGACCAATGAGAATTTCCAAAATTTACTCACAGAATTTTCATATTGCTACCAACACATGTAGGGGGCCATATGCATATTTTCGCCCTCGGAGATTGGCGAATTTAAAGGGAATTCATTCGTATTAATACCAACGATTGTCGATACAAAAATGTGGAAAACGCGCATTATTATGTTCGCATATACAATGTTACAAGGGATATGAACATGTGTTGTGATGATGAGAGTACCCGTTTGGGACTGTGATGATAGCGACAACTTGTTCACTATCACTTGTCCTACAAAATAACACACATTTTCCGAGATTAATGAGAATCGACTTTCAACGTAACGATGGCTATGAACATGTGTTGTGATGATGAGAGTACCCGTTTGAGACTGCTGTGATGATAGCGACAACTTGTTCACTATCATTGACACATATATCTTCACTCAGTCGGCCAGCTCGAGCCCAACGGACGTTGAATAGTGCTTCCTCGGGTGGCAAGAGAGTACGTGGAGTAATGAATGCCAGTGCAGCCCTGAGAGCCCCTGCTAGTTCGAAGGTGAGCTACTGAACTCACTTGAGGTTGTCATTGTTGTTTGTAGACTCGTGTGGAGCAGCCGATTGATGGTGTTGCGCTTGAGGAGTCTGTGGAGGGAAGGCGTGATTCAGGTTAGTTGCTTGAGGAATATACATTGGCATTTCACCGGTGATGTGAAAACACTAGTGAAAAACGTATTTCGCATTTCATCTCGCGAAAAACGCGAGGAGTGAATACGTGATATAGGGTGATTCGTCCGGCGAAGTGTTTTCAATTCGCTTCATATCGCGTTTTTCAAATGGAGTTCACGTAAAACTCCATTAATGAACTTCACCCGTTTTACGTGGAGTGGTGTAAAACTAAGTGAAAAACGCGATATTCGCGGTGATATGCAGTAGTAGTGAAATATGTTCTTCACTAGTGTTTTTCATATCACTCGGGTGAAACTCCAATGTAAATGATAATAAACCAATACTTTGTTAAAACTCTAAACGGTTGCAACTCCTCTGAAGATCTGCGAGGGCGATCACCATGATGTTACTCACAGAGTTTATGTAAGCGGATTATCGGAGTTACACGCGTTTTCCGTGAAATGGTGTAAAACTCGACATGCAGTAGTCGTGAAATATATTTTTCACAAGTGTTTTTCATATCACTAGGGCCGCCCGTGAAACTCCATTATCTGGTAATAGGTCTTCCGACAGTGCAGCCGGTCGCTGCAGGGGAGCGTACAGCACCAGAGGCAGCTGAGGAAGGAGTTCCAGCAGTCGTACCGCGGCGACAACCAAGGGTGAGTAAAAATGCCCGTGCTGGGAATTGAACTGGGGACCTCCTCATATGTTGGTTTTTCAGTACAAGGCTCGGCGTGATCCACAAGATGCATGAGTTTACAGTAAGACGAGTGCATGTGGGAGATTTTGTCGCGCGCCACGAAATTATTGCCTCGGTTTTGAATTTTTGTTTCTCATCAGATAATCGTCCGAGTCGGATTCAGAACGATTCTTTATAGATCGTCTTTTGATCATCATAATCATAATCGTCGTTGCCATGTTGTTAACGCTGATATCAGTTGTTTGTTGTGTTGCTGGGAATACGCAGAGATAATATACACATATATTGGAGATTCACCCGTTTTACGTGAAGCGGCGTAAAACTCCGTGAAAAACGCGATATTTGCGCTTTGCAATAGTCGTGAAATATGTTTTCTGCTAGTGTTTCTCGCATCACGGGTAAAACTCCAATATTATAAGAATTTAATGGAGTTTCACCCGTGATACGTGAGAGTGGCGTCATAATACTCTGTTAAAAACCTGATGTTCGCGGTGATATGCAGTAGTCGTGAAACATGTTTTTCACTAGTGTTTTGCAAGTCACTAGG